CTTCATAAAGCATTTGGCTGACTAGAAAAGCTCGGCCACGTATTTGGTCAATAAGGTGAGTAACATGAACCGCTGGGCTCAATACCGCTTCTACCTCCATCTCCTGCTTCATCTCAAGGTTGCTATAGAAACACGAAATCTGGGAAACATTCATTTTCACGAAGCTATTTTTACTTTCAAGCTTTTTATTTGTCAAAAGTTGACCAACATTTATTCATTTATTATTAGAATTAGATGTTTATCCCCACATTTGTTTTGATACTTCAAACATCGCGTTCTTCTTGCCTTTGAACTCTTTCCTTTTGTTTCGAATCAACTACATTCATACAATTGCACATAACTTTCATGTAGATCCTTCCATCGAGTTTGATGGATTTCCTGGATCCACTAAACACTGCCTGAGGGCTGTTCAGCATTTTTGTCAAAACCATGTGCATGTGTGTCTGTGTGCGTGTACGTGCGTGTATGTATGTGTATGCGTGTGTGTATATGTGTGCATAGCATTTGTGTGTATGTTTGTATGTGTATGTGTATTTGTATTCTCTGCACGCGCGTTTCGATTTTCAAATCTTAGAAAGCTATGAAGCTAGAATTTTGGCAGCTTGGCCCATCACTGTGAATGGTGCCCCACATTTACTAAAGTACCATTTAGCAAAATGGGTCAAATGGCGAAGCATAAAAAAATCTGCGCAGTCGTAACATATGGAATCATTGGCAACGCGTATCGGGCGGGCCCGTGCAGTCATGCGTTTTTGCAATATTTCATGCCGTAATGAGATCGCTCGGAAATCCAGTAGCTACAAACGTGTGATATACTGGTCCTTGAAGTACGGGAAGTTAATTGTCTACGCAGTATTTGGACAGGGAACATTTCGTTGAAATTTCAGCTTTCCAAATTTTCTGGTTTTTGAATAAGCAATTTGCCTGCCAAAAATTTTCACGGAGCCGTACGTGAGAACCACGCGTGCTCGGAAACTATGCAATGTAATAATTTTAAGCTGTACTTGTAACATTCCCTGAATATTTCAGCTTTTCAGCTTTTCTGGTTACCGAATTGGCCATTTTCCCGCCAAAAATTTTCACTGGACTGTACCTGAGTACTATTCGCACTGAGGGGCTGAATTTGACGACTC